TGCTGCTGTGTTCAGTGCATTTACTCCCCCAATGCCTTCCCTGTGCTCCTCTTCCCCGCTGCCTATAAGACCCGCCGTTCCCAATGATTGATGGCGTTTCTCCCCATGTCTCTCCTCCGGTGACCCTCTGGACATCAATGCCCTGCGGATCTCTGTGTTCAGGAGATTTCTTCCCCTGTTCACCATTTAACTTTGCGTCTCCCACCTTCCTCTCTTTATGACCCTCTGCAAAGCTTTTACTTCTCCCTTCTCCCCCCCGTCCATCAATCGATATCTCCTCAGGTGGTTTGGGCGGCGGATTAATGGACGCCCTGAGATTTCTGTCTGTCTCCAGATTTCCCTTACTGGTTGTAGAGGAGGCTGAGTAGGGGTATTCATTCCCTCCAGGATTCCAACTCAATGGGGAATTCCAAAATCACGATTTGAATATGATATTGTTTTACTAATTTTTTAAAACAATTAATAAATATTCAAAATATTTATATATCCGTACAATACAGTCAAACATTTTCCCCTTCATATTAACACGAAATGATAAAGTCATAATCAACTAACGTTTGAATCGATGAAAAGTTAATAATTTGATTATTATATTATTTTTGAAAAATCTGACATTAATATTTTTTAAATCAAAAGTGTAACAGTTACATTCTCTTATTAATCCAAAATTTTAATGCAAGAAGACAGAAGCCAACAATAAAAAATGTAGATGAATAATAATAATATAACAATAAATAACAATCACAATTAATATTTAGTCCTTTTTACCAATACAGTGTGACACCATATTCCCCACAGGACAGACCAATCCAATCACAGACCTCAATGTCCAACACGCGGCGCCACCCGATTTGTTTGTCGCCCAAAAAAACACCACGTCACAAGCGCTGTAACGCTATCACTACCCACTGCATGGAAAACATCACCGGTATAAATTACTCCCCGCGAAAGCTTCATTTCATTTCCCCCCTTTTCTTTCCTTTCTTCCTCAGTCAGCTAAGCTTTTACTGTGGCTCTCTCTCTCTCCCTCCCCCATTTCTTTTTTTTCTTCTTCTTCGTTTCTTTCCTTTTTGTTTCCGTGTTTTTTTTCGTCTTCCTCACTCGGAACCCTAACCAAAAAAACAATCATCACCACCAGAGGAGAAGGAAGCAGCAACACACGCGAGCAAGAAATTTTCTCAGGAAACAAACACCACCAACTCGTTCCCCGCGATTCTGCTTCTTCTACTGGTTCAATCTCGATTTCTGGGTCTTAGCTGGGTCAAAAATGCAGCACCAGCAGCAAAGGCTGAAGCAGCAGCAGCAGGCTTTGATGCACCAAGCTCTCCTCCAGCAGCAACAGTCTCTCTACCATCCGGGCCTCCTCGCTCCCCCTCAGGTACCCCCCCCCTTTCCATCTCGGTTGCTCTAGGGTTTTGATCGCCAGCTGCGATTTTTTTTTTTGCTGGGTGATTGGGTTGAACGTGTGATTGTGACTTGGAAATTTTGCGATTTCTAGGGTTACTTCTTTTGTTTGGAGTCTAGAATGTGATTTTGGGAAGGATTTTCTTGGGTTGATCGGGGGGTTTGGAAAGCTCGACTCGGGTAGGATAGTGGTAACTCTGCTGTTTTATTTTACCCGTTAAAGTACTCCTTTCTAGCTTATTTTAGTAAAGTGTGAGATTTTTAGGCGACCCTTGTTGTTTGTTACTATGTTTAGCGCGTTGGATGGATTCATTTGTACATAGCTTTGCTGCATTGCTGCTTACTCAGCGTGGGTTTTTACTTTGGCAATGTTCTTGTTTAGGCTGTAGTTAAGGGTTGCTGTTGTTTAATTGTCCATTTAATCCCTATCGGTAGCTCTGTACGTTCTAGCTTGACATGATATGGGCTATGTATGGAGTAAAGGCTTCTCCTTTTTTGTTCTGCACTACTTTGTTTTGAACTTTTTAATTTTCTTTGCAGATTGAACCGATTCCGAGTGGAAATCTGCCTCCTGGTTTTGATCCAAGCACATGCCGCAGTGTGTGAGTGTTTTGTATTATAGTCTCACCGCATTGTTATTCTTACGTTTCTCTACCATAGCTTGAGTGTTTTCTTTCCACCTCGTTCAGTGGTCTTCTTCTTATACCAAGAATAGTTGGTGCTGTTTCTATGGCATAGTAATTAATGATTTCATTTCTACTGAATAATTGGCAACTAGACTTGCGCACTCCTTACTTTTGCTATAAGCTATAAAAAAATAGGGCAGGTACTGAATAATGTTGATCAAGTTGTTGGTGTATTTCCGCACTTCCTTGCTTTGTGATAGTCGTGGAAGTCTGCTTATATCTTTACTTATATATATTTTTTCTTCCTTTCTTTTTAAAATTCTAGTTTCTGTATTCTTGTAAAATTTACAGGTACGTGGGGAACATCCATACTCAGGTGACTGAACCACTTCTCCAAGAGGTGTTTGCCAGTACTGGCCCCGTCGAGGGTTGCAAGCTTATACGAAAGGAAAAGGTGAATTCTTCAGCTATTTGATTCTGATAACCACATGTTGTATTTAGCTTCAATTTGAGATTTGTTCAGAAATTCCAATCTGACTGTCGCCTCCGTGTTTGCATTATGTGGTAGCAGTCCTCCTATGGTTTTATTCACTACTTTGATCGCCGATCAGCTGCTATTGCAATAGTATCTCTCAATGGGAGACACTTGTAAGTTTTGTAGCCTGTTCCTCTGCCATTATTTTGATTCTGCCTTATACTGGTGATATTCATGGGATGTCTTACTGTTGATGGGAATTTCAGATTTGGCCAACCTATTAAAGTTAACTGGGCCTATGCTAGTGGTCAGAGGGAAGATACCTCAAGTAGGTCTTATGGTTGTGTTTTTGGGTTGATATTTGTGGTTTACTGGATTTTGTAAACCCTAAGTAATGTCTGTGATGTGCAGGCCACTTTAACATTTTTGTTGGAGATTTGAGTCCGGAGGTTACTGATGCAACACTGTTTGCATGCTTTTCCGTTTTCCCCAGTTGCTCGTAAGTTTCTCTTCAGTTATTTCTGTTGTCTTGCAAGTTAAGCTCAAATGTTGAAATTTCTCAAAGTGCGAATTAACCTTGTGTTGTATCAGTGACGCAAGAGTTATGTGGGATCAGAAGACTGGACGTTCTAGAGGGTTTGGCTTTGTTTCTTTCCGTAATCAACAGGTGGTGCTTGTTAACTTTGGCATATTTTGGCATTACAATTGATGTTTATCATTATACTTATGTGCCATTTGCCTGTACAGGATGCCCAAAGTGCAATAAATGATCTAACAGGTATGTGTGGGAGGAGAAAATTTGCTGATTTCGACTATTAAACAATGTTCCGTTCTTTTTTCAGTTGCCTTCTCGCTTATGCAAATGGCCTTCTAATCTTTATTCAGGAAAGTGGCTTGGTAGTAGGCAGATAAGGTGCAACTGGGCGACAAAAGGTGCTGGATCCAATGATGACAAGCAAAGCTCAGATGCCAAGAGTGTTGTTGAATTAACTAATGGCTCATCAGGTCTGTTGGCATTTTGACTTCATTGGAGATTATATAATATATCTTTTGTTACAAAGTTTTGTCATTCATCTACACTGGTTATGCAGAAGATGGAAAAGAGCCAATTAACAGTGATGCTCCTGAGAATAATCCCCAGTACACAACTGTCTATGTTGGTAACCTTGCTCCAGAGGTAAGAATAATTCCTTCTTGCTTGTGTATTTTTAGATGGTTAGCTTGTTACCTATGACTCTGAGTGACCTGAGAGACTTGTGCTGTTGCTCATTTGGCAGGCTACCCAGCTCGATCTCCATCGCCACTTTCACTCTCTTGGTGCTGGGGTCATCGAGGAGGTTCGTGTTCAGCGTGACAAGGGATTCGGTTTCGTAAGGTACAGTACTCATGCTGAGGCTGCTCTTGCCATTCAGATGGGGAACACGCAATCCCTTCTCTGCGGGAAGCCGATAAAGGTAGGTTTTATTAGTATTCTTCATCTGTTTCATCTTCTCTTCTTCCTTCATACATTGTGTCTTATATACTAGAGTATTCCACTTTGGTAGTGCTCTTGGGGAAGCAAACCGACTCCACCTGGGACCAGTTCAAATCCACTCCCACCTCCAGCCGCAGTTCCAATGCCTGGCCTCACTGCAACTGATCTATTGGCATATGAACGCCAGCTAGCCATGAGCAAGATGGGCGGCGTTCACGCTTTGATGCACCCACACGGTCAGCATCATCCTCTCAAACAAGCAGGCATGGGGATGAGCGCTGGAGCAAGCCAGGCTATTTATGATGGCGGTTTCCAGAGCGTTGCTGCTGCCCAGCAACTTATGTATTATCAGTAATAATTTGCTCTTTCTACTCTTTCTGAGGCTTCGTGAGGATTTATGGGAATAGATGTTTTAGGAGAGCCTTTTCTTCTGTCTCTGGTGTGGTGAAATGAGTGTTCACCCGCAAGATATATATATGATGATCACTCGAGTGTGCAAATCTGTATTGGGGAGATGTAATGCCATCTGTAATGTCTTTCTTTGCGGTGTTATAACTTTTGGTCATGGTCACTATTACACTGTTGTAGGGATGAGGGAGTTCATGATGTCAGTAAGGGGAGGGGAGTTCGGTGTTTTTTTAGCATTTTAGTAGTTCTACTGTACGATGATGCTCTCGTGATTTGCTTTTACAGCAATTTGTCTCTTGTTCAGATGTTATCTAAAGTACTTGAAGGCTTCATGCCATCCTTTTCCGCTTTCTTCCAATAAATTATAGTGTTGACACTTGACTTTTTATATAATTTCAATATTTCATCGAACGTGCTTTATTTTGGCAAGGTTGTTACTTGTTAGTGGTGGCATCTTATCAGCTTTCGTTTGTTCCAATTTAATGATCCCACAGTTGTAGTGGTCAGGAGGATCTATGATCATACTGATGAAGAGGTCGAGAGTCGAAACTGCATCGATTCAGTTTGGTCTTATATTGATTACTACAATCCAGTTTCCAAGCTAAGAAAAGAGTTCGAGAGTCAAAACTATAATCATTCGAAATTTGATGCAAAACGTAAATTCAGCTCAAAATAGTAGCTGAATTTGGCGGGAGTCGACACACTGGATGCCTCAGACTGATATTGAAGTATGAAAGCAGGCAAAATAAAGCTCAAGGAACATTGGTAGTTAATACAGCATTATCCACCACATAAGATGTCCAGGGTATGGGCATTACCAACAGGATTGAACAAAAAACAGAAGTTACCAGAGGTTGAAAGATCCAACTCTACTTAATCTACCTGGCTTTTCAGTCGGTTTCAAGTCTTGCAATGTACTGATCATAGAACTTCCCAGCTTGCTCAAGGTCTCCAAGTTCAGTGTAACAGTCTGCAATAGCTCCATAAGCTTCCGTATTACCAGACTCTTCCCCTTCCCGCTTTGATATCGCCAGAACCATCATATGGTACTGTATCGCATCCAGATACTGCCCCTGCCTTTGCAGCGAGGCTCCTGAACAACAAACCAGATTCTCAGTCAACTAACACACTATACTATGGGTGAAACTGGTTAAGGATACGCAATAAAACAAACCTAAGCCTCTTGCAGCCTTTTTCTCCTCTATGGGGTCATTCAAATCTTGAGCAAGTGTAAGGGCTGCCTTGAACTCATCGAAGGCCTTCTGCGGATCTTGGTTCCTCAAATAGTTCTTCCCACTCTTCAAACGGGAGATCAGTTCTTGCTTCCTCGAATCAATTATCACTTCATCTGAGATCCTGCTGCCAACAGGTGCATAGCTAAGCGTGGGGGCGTATGACTCTATCTTGGCTTGTCTTCTTAGGGCAGCATTGATCTGGCGTAGTTGCTCGTTCAGACGCTTCAGTTCTCCTTTCCTCTGCCGTGCGAGCAAACCTATGACGTGAGTGGCAAACTATTCATGAAGGCTCCCAGTTTCTCATTCATTTCAATGATGAGGTGTGAATTAACCGCCACCATTTTTGTAATCGACCCCAGAAAATTGATAGGCTCTACTACCGTGTATTTACTAGAGAACCTCTCTAATGACATGAAGAAAGGATTATATGATGTCAAACCTCCAACAGTGGCTCCAACCACAGCGACAAATAGTAGCACGGGCATGGTCATGAAAGAGTTGCTGTCAGCCTCACATGTTTGAGCCAGGGCTTCAGAAGGAGCAGCCATGACGAAAGCATTAGTCAACAATGCTACTGCTGAAGATCTTAAGTACATTTGTCCCTGCAAATCATGTAACAGGCATGGTAAGGGAAGGGTTATAAAACTGTCACAATATAAGGTCCTTAATGGAAAATTCAGCTTGTAAACTTCAACTTTCTTGATCAATAGCCAGAGAGACTTTATAGGGTTGCAGACCTAAAACATGGCTCAACATTATATACCTTACAGCTTGAATGGGAAGGATCACAGATTTGCTACAGTGTTAATGACAGCATTCTAGGTGATTAAAGCATAGTGTAATTAGTTCAAGGTGATGAATTTATGATTTTTTGCTTTCTCGTATGCATACTAAGGCCTTACAAGCAGAAGCATTAAGGAAACTCAATCAAGCAACAGTTTGGACTCTCACACAGATGATAAAGGGACTCACCATCGTACCTGATGAGCTGAAAATAGGTTAAGAAGCACATCTCGATTTTCACTGGACGAATGCCTTGGATTTCTACCCAGTAATATCTGCCTAGTAACAGAAGGTACGGTAGAGGCATCTCTAGATGATAATGGTAACGTCGACTTGCCTACTTTGAACAGCCCACAAGGCAACTTCCCTTTCCCTGCATAGATAGATAAAATGAAGAAACCACTTTAGATATGCAAGATCAACAATGCGACATCAAATCATCCAAACTTCTCCGATCCCAATCCGTTTCGCGCTAAACCTTGACATGAATTTTACAACAGAACCAACGATGCATCAATCATCCGAGCACAACAAAATTCAGTACTCAATCTTCACACTATTTTTCTTTAACTATTGGCTTCACATGCTGCAGTGAGCTCTTCTATCCAGTACTACGTGAGACTTCTTCTAATCACGATTAACACTCCCCTAAACTCACGGACACCAGCAAATTTAAGATAAATGCAGCACCAGAAACCAGAACAGACCTACCATTACCAAAATCTCGAGGAAGATCAGCACTTAAACAACTCTAACAAAAACCCAATTCCAGATTCAACGGAAGGCATTTCGCATTTCCTTTACACTCTACTTTCCACTTCTAAACTTCGGAACGAACACCAAGTTACAGGGTCGAGTGAGAGAGCTAGGCAACCTCAAGTGAGAAGGGATTTCAGTGCGAAAAATGTGCTGGGAATGGAGTACTAACCGGGGAGATGGGATTGGGCGGAAACGAAGAGATCAGGTGGCGGAGAAGCAAAGCAACGGATTGCCACCGCCATTGATCTTTCCTCTTGTGCTTCTGAATATCTTGATGATAACTGATAAGGAAGCGGTTCCCTTTTTCCTGACTGTTGGCCTCTTCACTGCACTTCTGGTGGGCGGGTAGCGTAATCGGTTTGGGATAAACTAAAATAAAATAAAAAAGGGCAATGTCTATTTTTTACCCAAACCTTTTTCAAATTCTTTTATTTTAACCAAACTTATTGAATTCCTAAAAATTATCCAAAAGTTAACTCTCCGTCAACTTTTCTGTTAGTAATACTGACTAAGTATGACCATAATGAGTTGACTTCCTACGTGGCGGTCAGAATACCATCATTTACTATTTTTAATAAAAAGATTATCAAAAAACAAAACAAAATCTCACCTCTCACGTGGACGAAATAAGTAACGGTAACAGAATGAATGCCCAGACTTTGATAAATTATAATACGTTTGGATAATAAATAGAATTTCTATAGGTTTGGTTAAAATAAAAGAATCTGAAAAAGATTTGGGTAAAAAATAGACATTGCCCAATAAAAAAAACCGAGCTCCATTCTTCTCTTCTCTCTTTTTACGGTTTTGTCATTTAGCTTCTTTTAAAAATTGGACGGGCCGGATCTCTGGGCTCGACGAGGACCACCAACACTATTAGGTTTCCGAATTACCAGAAGGCCCATAGGTTGAGGCCCAATAGATTCAATCTAATAGCGCACACCATTAACGTACAAAGAAAAACAATATTTTTTGTACAATATATTTACATACATGCAACCACATAAGATAATTACATATCAATATTCTTTGATACGAGATCATCAAAATCAATCCATTTTTCAACACAAGCTCTTAAAATTTCACGAATCAATCCATTACGTAATTAGTGTGTGCTTTATAGCGGCTGAACTATCTTTTTGTACGTAATTTAGAGCATACTATAGTTTTCTATTACTATATATCTATCAATTTTGTGTTGGCCACGAAAGTGTGACATAAGAACTTTTCAAAATTAATTAATTAAGGAAGCGGTATTTCACACATACACGTAGCCGGCGGTGATTGGATCCAGATCCAATAATTCAGCCAAATCCCTCAACTTGGGGAGTTGACAGGATGCAAACACAAACCAGTCCCCTCCATTTTGAGATCCTTAAAACAAAACAAAACAACAACAAAAAAAGAAAAATCACAATAATTCAAAGAATTAAATTCCCCTTTACAAAAAAAAAAAAAAAAAGAAAAAAGAAGAAATTCCCAGTGTGAATAATCGATTGCTTTCCCAGATCAATTTTGCATCCAGTAGCTTGTAAGGACCACCGGCGGTTCCCGTTTCGATTTATCGCGTGCTTGTAATAACAACAATAATAGAGTAATCCATCTCGTAGCGAGTATAATTTTTTTTCTTCTTCTCAAAATTCAAGAGACGATTATGTCGAGTACGTAGGTACGTACGTAGAGGATCGCTTTTGCATGCATGCAGTTTTTTCCCCCTTCTTTCTGGAATCTCGTCTTCGACTGATGTTCTCGCGTACTTAATCATCAATCAAACGCCTCTACAAGCAATGATCAATGGATCTCCCAATTCGGTGACCGCCATCACGTCATCATGAGCAGCGGGAAGGCGTCGGCGCCGGCGGCGAAGCTGGAGGAGGAGCAGGTGGAGGAGCTGCGGGAGATATTCCGGTCGTTCGACCGGAACAAGGACGGGAGCCTGACGCAGCTGGAGCTGGGGTCCCTGCTGCGGTCGCTGGGGCTGAAGCCGAGTGAGGAGCAGGTGGAGGCGGTGATCCACCGGGCGGACGCCAACGGCAACGGGCTGATCGAGTTCTCGGAGTTCGTGTCCTTGGTGGAGGCGGACCTCCTCCTCCTGCACTCCGCCAACTCCAAGTGCCCGTACACGGAGGAGCAGCTCCGCCAGATGTTCACCATGTTCGACAGGGACGGCAACGGCTTCATCTCCCCGGCCGAGCTCGCACACTCCATGGCCAAGCTCGGCCACGCACTCACGCCGGCCGAGCTCACCACCATGATCCGGGAGGCCGACGGCGACGGCGACGGTTGCATCAGCTTTCAGGAGTTCGCCAACGCCATCACCTCCGCCGCCTTTGACAATAACTCTTGGTGCTAGCTATAATCAAGCTGCCTTTCTTCTTCGTCAAGCACACACACTATGAGATATAGTATGTCATTAAAATTAAGCCTATTTTATTTATGCACCCGGCTAATTAAGTCCACCAATGTTGTTTGTAAGTTGGAAATTTTGTTTCGTGTACGTAATTTTTGAAAACTTTACCAATATTTGATTTATGTCAGCTAATTAAAGATCGATTTTCTTTCTTTTTCGATATGGTGAAACTGATCTCTTTTGTCGTTCAATTTGTTTGATTAGCTAAAAGTCTGATTGCTAGATCGTGATAATATATAATTTTCAATGGGATGAATGTGATTAATTAGCTAGGAATTACATCGTCCGACGAACTTTACGACTTGCAACGTAGTGACTTATAATCTCAAAGTGTAGCTGCATGGTGAGATTGTTAGATCGGTTAGAAGAGTGATAGAAGTAGATCGTATATATGGGAAATGCTCGATGGAATGAGGTCTGTAGAAACAAGTCTTTCTGTAAGAGCAAGTTAGCTAGTCAAGTTTATGTAGTAGATTATAGTTGGCCAGGTTTATAGTAGAAGGAGCATCCTTGTATATACTTCTTGAAAGAATATTTTTCACAACGTGAAAAACACACTTCGATATCAAATGAGTAATGAAATTATGAAGAAATTTTAAATGGATATAATGCGGGTACCGTTTTCACAGTTTGGATAGATGATAAATACAATTAAAATGTTTTAGAATATGCGCCCAAACAATGCAAGCTGTATTATAGAAAAGTAACAAAAATTAACGTATATTATTTTACGTTGGAGCCACCTTAAACATAATCCTAACTACGCTACCGGTCAACACCCAGGCCACTTTCTTTGTGGTACAAAAGTTTGCAATTTGATATCCGTCATTGCGTTCATGGACGGTAAATGTGAGGGTGCAACCATGCGAAAGCGGACATTAATTAATTGCAACTAAAAAAGTGTAAGGGATTAGTATCCAACGAAAACTATACTCACGTACTGATATCTTATACAATTGACCCTAAAATATATCCCCTGCGATTTCCCCCAAATTGTTACTCTTCCATCAGCTCCCCAAGTTGAAACCCTAAAATTGAAAATCCAAGAGGGTTCGTCAAACATTAACTTCTCCATTAATAGCTCTGTTAATAATGCTTACTTGACATTTTGATTCTGAGTTGGATGAGACACGTGACTATCAATGTTCCTTAAGATTTAGTATTTTAATTAAAAAATCAACCATCTAACTAAAAAAAAAAAGAAAGGATTAGATAGCTCTCATCCACACACCCATTTATGAAAATTTAGGGTTTGAATGCAAAACCCCTTCTCCAAATTCGAACCTTACCCATTATGTAAGTTTAGATTTTCTCCAACTTTACAATGCCTTCCTCTATTTATAGTTTAATTGAGTCCGAATTGATCATGCATGTTCGTTGGGAGGATTACATAGGAACCCTCTTCACATTTCTCGCGAAGTTAGCCATGCATGAACGTAAAAGAAATTGAAATTTGCGGATATAATTGTCAATTACTTTTGGAGATAATAAAACTTTGTCTATCTTTTGACAACCAACACATGCGAAAGAAATTTTCAAATTGTTGCCTTTAATTTTGTGCAATCGAAAAAGGTATTCTTTTCGGTTGTTAGCTGCATATGCTTTCTTCGATTTGCAATGACAATATCTATTTTACTTTGGATATGCAGATGACTGAATATTTGGAGTTCGATTACCATCATGAGTCTATGCGTCTATATAGATCCTGTTCATGGATTAGCGAAAATGTGCCAAAGCTCTATTTGGGTATGCCATTGAGGGAGTGATGGATTTCTCGGATGAGGCCCCACATTGGGGGGTGGTTTACAAGAAGTTCAGAGTGGATGTAGATGAAATTTCTTACTTTGGAATTCTGATTTTGGCTAAGGTACACTTGAAGTATAAATGCGACTTGACCCTGGGATCCAAAATGGAAAATGGCATACATGAAATCAAATATGATAAGGAAGTGATGGATGGTTTGGTTTGCTTCTGGATGCAGCCTAGACTGAGGCGGTTACCTTGTTCATACAAGCTATTGAGTCTGACAATGGTGTGATGGGAGGCAACGAGAGTGAAGAATTTTTGATAAGGAGTATTCTCTAATGATGCACGTACACAATATGGGTGAGAGTTCTGTTGCTAGGGATATAGTCAACTTGGCTGACTCTAACAATGTCGATACATATGAGGAACGTAACACAAGAATGAGCAAATGGTCAAAATTGTTTCGGAGAAGGGGTTGACCATGTTAATGCATTCACAGGTGACATGGAAGAGGATAAATCTGATGAAGACTACAATCTACAAGAAGCATTAGCTTCTACCCACTGAGGACCACGTGTACTCGATGAGGAACCAAATGAGTTGTTTGAGGATCTACTCTTTATGATCCAAACTGCGATCACAAGCAATTAGAGTTTCGTGTGGGGATTAAGTTCCTTAGTATTGAACATTTTAGACGAGCCATCGCCAAACATGCAGTTGTTGTTGAGGCGAGTTTGGTGTACACTAAATAATTCTGGTAGGAGGGAGTTCACATGTAAAGATCCTACTTGCAAATGGAGGGTCTAGATTAATTGAAGGTTAATTAGTTGTGTATCCCCAATTCCCCATTCCACATTTTCTCCTACCAGGAGCAAACAATTTTTCGGTGAGGCAGTGAACATACGAAGGGAGAAAACTCTCTCCCACATTGTGGTCTATTCTCATCGCGTTCATAGCTCCATATTGGGTGAGGCAGTTCACACAAAGATGGTGGCTAAGTTATCACACTTTATAAATATGCAACACCAACTATATAGTGCTAATTTTTGGTACTACTATCAAATCTCACTCACATAGCCTTGAGAAGCGCGAAATAATAATAAGCTTAACAAACTCTCCATTGCCAAGGCTGTAAAAGTGACTCATTCCAACTACAACATCCTGATCGACAGCCAAGTATAACCGCAGACCGGGTGTAGTATAGGGCAAACAAGCAATAAAAAATTATCGTACCACGGGGATATAGGCTTACCCTACTTCGGTTTGGGGTTTTTTATCTAGCCAACCTAGGATGGTGGTTAATAAAACTAAACTAACCACTAACCTAGTTATTTAAAAGGTTTGGAGCTCTCTTGGGTTGAATCATCCTAGGTCCATCCTTTGGATCGATGGACTCCCTCGGGAATGACCCGGAACGGCGAATCGAGGAATGGGGTGTGCTCTATTCAACCTAGGGAAACCATATATCATAGGATATTGATGGAATCGACTCCCTCGGGGATCACCCGGACGATATAAGACGAGGAGTTACCCAAAGACTCCAATAATGGGCTCTAAGGGGATTTTCTCCCTCCTAGGTCAAAAGCTCAAAACATGAAAATGAAAACCCAACTCATGCAATCCATGAAAGCATCCATCAATTAATTAAAATTATCAATCAAACACGGAATTTGTCACATACATCAACAACAAACCAAAACCTAGACCTAGGGTTCTTAAACCCAAGAGAAGGGGTGAATTTCTAGAGAGAGAAGAGAGATATTACAAATTGAAGCCCAAAATATTCTTCTTCTTCTAGGCTTGATTCCTTGCTTCCAAACTTGATCAATGCCTTCATTTAAGTTCCAAGTTCACTCAAGAACTCTCTCTCTCTCACTAGAACTCCCCTTTGGTGTTTTAGGTCGAAACCCTAGAGCGAGAATCAAATTCTTCTCCAAAAAACCAGCTCTCCCTTCTTCCTTCTGCTGCAGCCTTTTATACCCAGATTGAAGGTGTTTCACGATCCGAGTTCACGGTCGTGAACTCAAAGCCTGGACCGTGATCTCGGCCAGAAACCCGTCGTTTCACTAGGTCACTTCACGGTCTGGGACTGGAGTTCACGATTGCGTGACCGTGAACTAACTAGTCTCCAGTGAGACACCCAACTGTTCTGGTTCCTCCACGTTTCACGGTCTCGAGGCAATTGTCACGGTCGCACTTTGGACTTTTCTCCACTTTTTCGCGCTTTTCGACCTCCAATCAACCTGAAACTCGTCCTCGACCTTCACACATATGCTAGGACCTGAAATGTAACAGAACAAGCACAATATCTAGTGTAAAATTGGTCGAGGGATGGCGATATACTAAGCAAAACGAATAAGAAATGAGGGGTAAAATGTGTACAATTGAACCCAAATAAAAAAAATGAACTTCTTTCTTGATCTGTTTGACTACCTCTCCTACACTTTTGACAACAGTCCGAAAATTTATGTCGCATATTTCACGCCAAAGCATTGATACATGACAGCACCATAACCCTCCTATTTAGCTGCTATCTATTGGTCCTGAATGTGCACGATTACAGATTTTCATAAGACAATCATCAGTGTCAATTGGTCTGCAGCCTTTTAACTTGTGTCTCGTCTTAATTCGATTCATGATCACTAGTCAAGTAAAAAAATCTATGCTTTGGAATTGCATATCCCCCGAGTATCTTGTGGCAATCTACTTTCGGTCCTCTAGGTTTTATAATTTTCCATACTGTTTTGACAGAAAACCTTTGCATTGGCTTCCTATCCCAATTGACTTCATTATTTCGTTATCTTTCGAGCCTAAACTAGAACCATGTTCTGAGCCTCATGATCTTTCTACATAATCAAGGTCCAACTTGAGTTTCTGGCAATTCCAAAAGGTTTATTCCCTTCATTCTATGCCTCAAAATCTAGAGATTTTTCCAATAATAGCACCTTTAAAAAAAATTACAATACTAGCACCCTTCCAAAAATATTTACAAAAGTAGCACCTATTTTTATGGAACGCACCTTAGAGGTGCGTTTTATAAATAAAACGCAGCCTAAGAATGCGTTTCCCACATAAAACGCACCCCTAATATGCGATTTATGCGAAGTCAGATTATGAAACGCATCCCCAAGATGCGTTCAACGTTTGGTGGCCAGCGGCCTTCCAGTCCGCACGATTGAGGTGCGATCAGACGGGTA